CGTATAGTGTCTGTTTCCTTCAGTAAGTATTTACCTTGTTTAATTATAGTAATAATAATGTCTATAGCAAGGAAATGCCTACAGCATAACTTGTATTAGCAAGAAAGAATTTGGAATGGAGTGATTCACCATAAACCATGACTTTGGCTTCTGTGGAAGTACTGTGACATGAACGGAGAGCAGTGTTATCCAGTAGAAATATAATGTGAGCTATATATAGAGTTTTGTTTTCTAGTAACTGTATTAAAAAAAGATTAAAGTTGAAATTAACTTTAATAGAGTTTATTCAACCCAATAGATAAAAATAATGTTGCAACATGTGATCAGTATTTAAAATCATGAATAAGCTATTTTACATTCTTTGTATTCATAGTAAGTCTTTGAAATAGGGTGTGTATTTATAAATATAGCACATGTCAATGTGGACATATTTTTGTTTGGAAATGCTTGGTCTATATTTAGATTTCCCAAAGTCTACAGTGAAAAGGCAGATTCACATACCCAGTTTGTTCCAAACATGTTTTTCAATGACTGAATCAATATCTGTTCTTAAATTTAATTAATTAAAATTATATAAAAATAAAACTTTAACTCCTCAGTCTTACTGTTCATATTTCAAATACATAGGTGATTAGTGGCTACCACATTGGATAGCATAGGCATAGAACATAGCTCACAGCTACACATGACAGCTAAGTGACCCTGATTCAAGCTTAATATTTTAGCTAAATTAAACCAGAGAGAATTATATAAATTAGCATGAATTATTATATTGAAATTATGGGGGCAATATTTTAAGTGAAATTTATGTCTGAGTTTAATATGGTCTGCATCATTTTCAGAAAGCAACTTGGAGATAATTGCAGACTTCACTGGTCCTCAGATACTGGTCCTCAGGTTGAGATAATATTAATTCTTAAAAACTGCCTTATAACATATTGCTGTGCCAATGCTTATTATTAGCAGGGTATGAAGTCAACCTAGTGGATCTTGTAAAGCATTTTTTTATTAAGGTATCATTGATATACAATCTTACAAAGGTTTCACATAAGCAGTGACCTACCTATATTATGTGTGCTAATTATAATGCTGCTTAATCCCCTTCATCCTCCCACCCACCCTCCCCAACACCTTCCCTTTGGTAACCATAGCATCTGTGAGTCTCCTGCTGTTTTGTTCCTTCAGTTTTGCTTTGTTGTTATACCTTGATAAGCATTTTTATAAAAATCTGAAACAGTATTGAATAAGGGAATGTATCATGTGTGTTTACGTTTTGAGAAACCTTTGTTTTCAGTTATATATATGTATTTTGTGTGTACAAGATCTCAGTGAAAAATGAGTTTCTTTTGGGTTGTAAATTTTTGAGAATCATTCTTCTATCAGCATACTTTTGATTGTTGATATTCTGAATATTACCTACAAGCACATCTATCTAAACAAAGCATTAATCACAGAAAACAGTAGACCTGTGATGAGATGTAAGTGGTACTGAAACATGTGTAGTGAGTAAGATGGTAAAATGTAAAGTCATGTATAATCACCATAATAAACAACATAGGGGTATGGTGACTTGCTTCTTTAATTCTATGTGGACTATGAGTAGCCAAATTTGAACTTGGAGTTAATAGAATAATTTACTGGTTTGGTAACTGTTCTTCCTCTAAGTTTTGGGTTGGCTATACATCATCAATTTAAACTTGGGGTTACATCTTAGTTCTTAAGAATCTTGGCTTCTTTCAAAAGTAAAACTGGCCTAATTTGTGTGGATTGCAGAAAATAGCACTCAGTATCTCCTTAAAGCATTTAATAAGATAATTGAATAATATTATATATTTAACCATTCCTATACATTTTTAATTTTAGTAACACCTGATGTTTAATCTCATCAGATATCTATTAAGATATATCTAAAAATGAAGTCAAATCATAGTTGGGATTGAGATTATGTTTTTGACAAAATATAGATTTCTTTTTGTTAGTCCAGCTACTCTTAAGTTATTTGTTTATTTAAGCCTTCTTTCTCAAAGTTTTGTGGGTTTTTGGTTTTGTATAAACCTCACTTGAATATGTTTGCTTGAAATTCTTCATCTATACAGAGTCAACATGCCAAATAACTTGTATACACTGTACATACTTGGAATGTTGTTTTGCCACCAGAGGCTGGGGACTTGGGCAACATTCACTCTCATTCTTTTGAAAGGCAAAATATGACAGTCAGTGCTGAGCAGTGACTGCAGTGTGTTGCTGATTCCTTCATGAGAATTGGTATTGACTAAGGACTCGTACAAAGTAGACATACAGTGAGATACAGCTAATGACTTTCGATGTCATTTCAACTGTACTTCTAACTTGTAGGGTCCCATGCAATGTTAGAATATATTTAAAAATACTGTGTATCAGCTGGGCCTCCTTCTCTTGCCCAAGTGCTTTTATATAAGGAGATAGGGGTCTACTGAAAGATCAGCCTTTTGAAATGCTATTGTTGTAGCATTGAAGGAAAGGAAAGAGGAGGAAGAAGAGACAAGAATAGCAATCATTTCCAAAAGCATTAAGTACATACTGTTTAGAAAGCCCATTAAGAAAGTCATCCTATTGCCTAATGTATTCCAGTTGAAATGTGTTAGGAATATGTAGATAGAAATGTTATGTAATTGGCCCTTTATTTCTTAGAGTAGGAGTGGAGGAGTGGATGAGAATCCATATGCCTAGCTTTCCCCTTCTCAGAAATTGAAGAAAATTGGTTCCCTTGTTACTACTTTATGTATCTGTTTTATGTGTTACAAGGCCTAGGACTAGACATTGTGAAGAATAAAAATTGTTTTTGGCTGGGTTTAGGGTATTCAAATGGTTTAAATGCAAAAATGCACAGCGCAGCTCGGTGTTGGGAAGGACTCTGTGTGTTGTAGAGTGTTGCAGAAGGATTCTTTATGTATAGGTCTTTTGGAATGGAGAAGTTAGGAAAGGCAGATTGGAGTGATTTTTAAGCCAGGCCTGCAAGAATTGGTAGGTGTCTTGTAAGAATAATTACAGGTCATTTACACCTTGGAAAGACCATAAGAGTTAGTATTAGAAAGTAGTTTACAAAGATACCTTTGGAGAATTAAACTAATTACATCATCACAAAATAGTAGAAGGCAAAATGTCTTAGGGACCAAAGGAAGGAATACCTACTTTACTGATAATGGCTACATAAATAGTATACTGGTATATCTTTTTTATTAAAGTTCTCAGCAGAGTAAGGTGGATCATGCAGGAAAAGTGTATCGTGCGTGGATCTAGCAGTTCCCAGGGAAGGAAAGAACTTAAAAGAACTTAAACATTGTGGTCATTTGAGATGTGTCTTCTGCTGTAGGGTGATTTTTCTTTGAGGTATCCCACAGCTGGATCAAAATATTCTTTCTCCTCACCCCCTAGTCTACTTCCTACCTCTGCCGGTTACAGCTCTTTCATCTGTGCAGCAGAATCATACAGCACTTCTCCTTTGGTATCTGGCTCCTTTCACTTAGCATGATATTTTCAAGGTTCACCCATGTTGTGGCATATATCAGAATTCCATTCCTTTTCGTGGCCAAATGATATTCCATTATATGAATAGACCACATTTTATTTGGTCATCCATTATTGTACATTTGGGTTGTTAGCACCATATTAGCCTCATGCACTTTAAAAGTCATTTGAGTTTGGATTCTCTCATGATAGTGATCTTGAAGACACTTCATTAAAATAATAGCTATTTTTTTAAATTAAAATATATACTCTATTAAGAATTTATTTTAGGGCTAAACTAAGTTATTCTGCTCAAGTTAAATCATTTTACTTTTTATATTACATGCCTATTAGTAGAGGTAGGTGGTATATAGTTTAAAGAAATTAAACCAGCTAGATTTAGATACTTTTTTTATGTTTACCAAGTAGTACTTTTATGTCTGAATCAAGTAAGATATTTCAGTTACAAAATATATTGAAAGCATATGATAAAATCAGTGCAGAGCTAATATTTATTTTATACTTTGTTTTCATGTTTTTAAAGAATTGTACCTTATTTACATGTTCTTAAGCACAAATAAGCATTTCTATTTATTAACTTGGAGAACTTAAAAAGTTCTATCACTGAGGTTTTTATCAGAATTACTGGAACATTATATTTTATTCAAATCCAAAACAATGCTTGGAAAGCAAAATATTTCTAAATCTGGCTGCCGGAATTTTCCTTAAAATAGTAACATACTTTTGGATGATAAAAGGGTATAAAAGATGACTGATAAAGTCCCTAGAATCTATTTGTATCTTTTCAGATTTAGATTCTTCTAAGTCTTAAAGTCCATAGTCTAGGGTTAACCATGTTCCCACCACCTCCACCCCTTTTTATTGTATGAAAGGAATTCACTGACAATTCTAAGTTACTTTCCAGGGCTTATTTTTAGGAAGTGAAAGATATAATGAGAATATGGTATAAATAATATATGCTACCTAAATTTCCCCCCCCACGCCTTTTTGCAATTTATTTAAAAATATCTTTAAATGTCTTCATTTGCAAATATTGCTCCTGTTATGCCAGACAAGGATTTATACAACTTTCACTTGCCTGATAAGTCCTCAGGGATAACATGAGTGATTGATTTTAGCAGATAAGCTTATTTAGTCAGTAATTTCTTCCGTTAAGACAGTGGTTCCAACATAATGCACGTTAAAATAACCTAGAGAACTTAAAAAAATATATCCATACCTGGGCTCAGTCCCCAGAGATTCTGGCTTAATTGGTCTAGGAGAGAATCTGGATGTGCTCCACAAGTAATAAGCCTGCAGCCAGGTTTGAGAACAACCATATTTGAGCAAGAACTAGGTGTGGTTGGGTAGGGTTGCCAGTGGGGAAGAGCCTAGGTCATTTCCATCTCTTCCCTACTTACATCAGGACAACCCAAGAGAAAAGGGAAATGAAAGATCACTGAGAGTCTAGGGTTTAGGAAATGAAGTTGCTTTTTTTCTTTTTGTCATTGTAGACATGGAAGGACTCTAATGAAACATAAATGGTTCAACAAAAGATGCTCTAATGGATGACAGCGAAACGCCTACATATAATCTGCAGATAGAACCACAAGATGGGTGTTATCCTGGTGACGGCGTGGAAAGTAGAGTAACACACTTGCCCTCTGCATCAGACGAAAATGAGAATCAGCTTGGTGGGGATGGGCGTGAGCCTCTGACCGGCAGCGACAGTGCCATGGGCAGGCCTGAAGTGTCTGCACAGGACAGTCTCAACAATAATGATGGCTGCACACCACCCTGTGAGGTGGCTGCGGGAGAGAATTCGAAAAGCATTTCTCGTGAAGGCCCCAGAGATGGACAGGCCTTTTTGGAAAAGGACAGAGTAATACCTGGAAAGAAAAGTGCAAAAAGCAAAAGGGGTGCTGCCAAGAAGACACCAGCAGGTGCTTTTAGAAAATTACCATTTATGCTGTTCTTTGATGAAAAGTAAATGGTCTTTCCATCTATACCCTGTACACTGTCCTGCATCTTGTTTTGCTTCTCTGAATATATTCTGGAGCTGGTTCTAAAGTAGCACATATGGCTCCAGCCATGTGCTGTGCCATGCATGTGATACCTTTGCACAGTGTTTATTGAATGAGTGCACCACCATTTATTTAACCACCTCATTATGGCTGTTCCCAATATTTTGCTATAGCAGATGTGCTGAAATTGACACTCTTTGTGCATGTTTTCACACTGGATACTTTAAATGTACACTCTCTTTCCTCTATAAATTAGACCACTTTCTACCAATATTGGCCTTAAAACTGTCCTTCTGTCATCACTGTGGCTTCCATCTCTAGCCCGTGAATTTTTGTGCTACTACAGTGTTACTCAACTCTTTATAAGATATTCCATCTCACTTAGTAGGTGAATAACATATATTAACATATATTAATATACATCTCATGCTAATGTTGAATAAGACATCTACCTTTAGTTGCCACTATATCACTTCAGTTGCAAAGTAATTCAGAGTAGTTATCATTTGGTAAATAGTTTGGCAATTAAAGTTTGGAGCTATGGAGTTTTTGCCTAAATCACAGGGCAACCTTAGGAAAAGGCAGCCTTGTTATTTTGGATTAGAAGCATGTTGAACTGGAGAGTTCTGGTACATCCTGGACTGAGACCCTGTAGTGTAGCACCACCGCCTTC